CATTCGAAGCCGCAATCACATTTGAACTCGTCGTCTTCGTCGTCTTCCTCGTCTACCGTCCTATGTCTTCGTCGACGTTCTCGAAGGCCTATGTCCCCGGTCCTGAATTTGACCTTAAGCTTTGTCCCTGCATCCATTGGTCCATGTAGGTAATCCTTGAACCCTACTCCTTCCTTCAACATTCCGTACACTTCTATTCTAGACCCTCCTTATCCTTGGATTCTTTCCTCAGATTCTGTTCTTCTCTCTCGGCACAAGCAACATATATCTTCTCCTTGAACCCCTGTAGACCCTCCGTTTCCAGCGTTTCATCTTCGTCGATGTCGAGCCCCTTCCATACGTCCTCTACAACCTTGACCCATTCCGTGAGTTGTCTACCCCTCTTTTTGTTTGCCCACTTCGCCTCCCATACAATTCTCGGGGGTAGGGTTAAGGTAGGTGGGTACTCATGCTTTGCATGCCTTAGTTATTAGATCATTTTTACCACGCGTCAGCGAGAGTAAGGATGGAGCGTTTTCCCCACGGGAACGATAACCGATGGCCAATCGCCCCCGTACAACCTTGCCAGAGGTGGCTCAAAATTACTTTCCCCATCTCAACTGTGTCCTGTCTACATCACTGAGAGGGACATATGCGAGCGATGTGCAGGATAAATGCGCAATGTTCAGTTCACTTCTCCTGCGTTGTCCCAGCTAACATGGCCAAGACGAATCACCCGCTCGGTGAAACTATCCCTGACCAATGAATGGGGCGATCAACACACACGCAGGAAACATTAGCGGTACCTCTTGATCGAGGTGTTGTCTTTCACGGGGGGAGGTGAAGACGGAAGAACGGCGAGCGCGTCAGCCGTGTGCTCCTTCCCTCCAACAGCACCAGCTTCTTGCTATATACCGTAGGAAATTCCTTTCGACAAAACAATAAAGAAAAAGCACCACCCAACGCCAAACAAACCGATCCCTTACAGTAACGCCCCGCGTGTCGCCCGAAGTAGGCGGCGGAACCTCGAGGCAGTGCGCCACCGAGCAATCCTCCGCCCACTTCGCCGCCTTGTTGCCTTTGCAAGCGAGAAGACTGGCGGCTTCCTTGCTGACCCTCCAGTTCTTGATGGGACGGTCCTGGTACACCGGTGGCACGACGGCGGGGTCCCCTAGCTCGCTCCCCCCCCCTCTGTTATTGGACGTAGCGTCCTGATGGGCCGAGAAAGAGAGGGTTGGAGGATGCGTGTGCAGTACCGGCGTTGCGGTGGGAAACACCAGCCGCAAAGTTTAAGTCTGACAATCGTCGGGCAGAGTCGACCGTTGCCTGCAGTGAAGCCTTCCAGGCCGTCGTTGCGACGAAAAATGATCTAACGTGAACAGTATAAAAGCAGTGAGGCCTAGGCTGGCTGCGCGCGTTGGGTAGCGGCGTACGACGATGGAAGCGGTGTCGATTTTCAACAAAACACCACGAGGAGTCTGAGACGAAAAGGTGTGAGTAATCTCTGCGAAAACGATTCTCGCATGAGGCAACACTCGTGTTGTCTCACTTCAAACGGTTTGGACGGGAGAGGGACACAATAGTTTTTTTTTTGCGAAGAAAGTAGAGCATTGTTTCATCATTCTTAGCGTTGTGACCAACAACAACAACAAACGCTTCGCATGTGAGATTATGTCGAATGAGTGATCTTTCTCCTATTCAGATTGACGTGAACGTTTGTGTGTTCGTCCCCTCTATCCGGGCGTCAGATTTACAGTCCTTCGGTGTGTCATGCATATCTTAAAAAACACACACATACTTGTCTTTTCATTGGTCAGCCAGTGAGCGCGGTCGATGTCAATCATAAAGACACATACACACAAGGCATTGTTTACCCGGTGAGAAACGAAACCGTCAGCGATCTCGCCGCTTTTGCCGAGGGAAGAAGGTACAGATGAGCTCGGCGCAGAAGCAAACGGGGGCGACGATGATGTGGATGACGCCTTCGAGTGGATGATGTCCTGCACACGATGTCTCTCCGTCGCCTTGTCTGTAAAAACGCGGCGGGTGTGTTGGGAATGGGACATCACATCTGAGAGAGGGGCGGGGGG